CAAAACAATTCTATAAAATAGGTGCTATTATGCTAAAATTACAGATGACACATCATGTTCAGGCAAGTTAAGTGTCTTACCCAAGATCTATACAGTTATGAAGACACAGAGCAGAGACTGAACTGGACGTTTGCTGACTCCAAGTCAATTGTTCCTTCCTTTAAGACATGGTGTTGTTTCACAAATAAATCTTATCAGTGGTCCCGACAAAGGGATAAAGGGATTAGGGCACAGCAGACTTCCATAGCACAGCCTTAGAGATGGTCAGAGCATGCAAGGTGAGTTAAGGTGGATCAGTTCCAGGAGTGAGACTATTGCTCAGATAGAAGTTCCCACCAGATAAGAGCTAAACACTTTTGCTGTGTTTCCAGGAACAAAACAAACAAACAAAACCCAAAAAACTGCACTTGGTTTCCACAGTGAAGAAAAGCAAAAACCAACAACAGGATAATTCTCAATACCATGTAGAAAGAGGAGAAAAGGCCTTTGCTTTTTGTCTTTGCCTTTGTTCATTCCACCTCATCCATTATTATTTTCTTTTGAGGCATATAGGGCTTATTTATTCAGACAAGCACTGGGGATCTCCTGTGAGGGATGTTTCATATTGTGAGGAACAAAGTTGCTTTATAAACAATAGGGGACACTACGTCTAGAACTAGAATTCAATACCCAGTGCTAAGAATTTTCTCCTGAGGATGCTTTCTAGGATAGCTGTCATGTAGCCTGATATAAAAGGCTCATGGGGCAAAATATGAAATCCTGGCTGAATTTATATACTTTATAGACAAGCTTCTGTTGACAGATACAGATAGAAGACAGTAGATGCACATGATCCATGAGTTTCAGAATTTTCTTTCCTTCCATAGGTGGTGCCCAATGGTGAAAAATAATCTAAGGACAGGCCCTTTGGGGGAGATGAACAAAGCTCAGGGAGCCATGAAATTGAAACTTCACCTTTTTATGGACAAAGAGAAAGAAGCAAAAGTAACAGAAGCCCCCACTATTTCCCCATGGTCTTGTGTTTCAGGAAGGTATCTCCTCTTTCCTTTTACTACATGATACTGTTACTGCACCCTGTCTGTGTTGCTAACCTTGGTTACATTCCAAATAGTGGGTTCTAGCATCCCTTTGCAAAAACTGGGCTGTGTCAGTATGTCTTCTCAGAGTGGATATATTTGCGAGATTGACTGTTTGAAATTAGAATGTTAAAAGGCATTAATTAGTGTATGTAATAAAGCACCAGAACATCTCAAGTCAATTTCCAATCCATTGACTGTTCTTTTCCCTTCTTGGGTTTTAGAGGAAGCTGGGGCCAACAAATTCCTGGACCTTTTGGCTTCTTCAGTAATCTAATCATTTGAAAGAATACAAAGATATCAATCTTTGCCCCAGGGCAGTTCCCTGTTAAGAATTTAATTCTTTTTTTATTACTTCTACAATCAGAAATATAGTTTTATTAAAGAAAATATGAAAAATATGTAAAAGTTAAGAAAATTTTAAATACCTCAAAACCAAATCTGACAAAGAAAACCGTAGTTAATATTTTGATGCAGTTTCTTTCAGCGATACGTATACAAAATTTATATTTATGATAATTTATACTGTGTGAGACTTGTTTTTATCTGATAATATCATATCATGAGCATTTTTCCTTGTCCTTAACTGTTCTTCAAGACTGCAATTTTCCTTTTTTTTTTAAGATTTTATTTATTTATTTGAGAGAGAGAGAGAGCATGAGTGGGGGAGAAGTAGAAGGGGAGGGAGAGAGAGAATCTCTCAAGCAGACTTGTGCTGAGCACAGAGCCTGACACAGGGCTCAACTCACTGACCCTGAGCTCATGACCTGAGCCAAAAAGTCAGAGATGCTCAACTGACTGAACCACCCAGGTGCCCAGCAAGATTGAAATTTTCGATGGTATAACAAATGAAGGTATGCTTTCTCACATATTATAATATGTCCCACCACCACATACCAGATTTTCAGAATCCTTTTTAAAACTTTTTTTTAAAGATTTTATTTATTTATCTGAGAGAGAGAAAGAGAGAGAGAGATCTTGAGCAGGGGGGAAGGGCAGAGGGAGAAGCAGACTCTCACTGAGTGGGGAGCCCGATGTGGGACTCGATCCCAGGACCCTGGGATCATGACCTGAGCTGAAAGCAGATGTTTAAAAAACTGAGCCACTTAGGCGCCCAATTTTCAGAATCCTTAAAAAAAAAATTATGACTATCTATTGGTTGGATATTTCAGGAAAATAATTATTAAATGATGATGATGATGATGATGAAGATGATAAAAGTAATCATTGGATGACTTTTAGGGAAATACCTGCAGTTTCATCATTTAAAATCAAGTTGGCTGTCTAAATTTTTATTAAGAAAGAAAACTGAATTCCATCAAATGATTTTTTATTATCTATTGGGTGATCACATAGGGTTTTTTATTTACCTATTTGTTTGCCATATGATATTGATTGATTTCTAAATATTAATTTGGAATGCCTTGAATTTATGAAATTATTATTCAGTTGATTTGGTTTTATATTTATTTATGATTTTTACATGTATATTCAAATGAGATTAAACCATAGTTTTATTCTGTCTTTGACACTGGGGTATAAAAGTTATTTTAGCTTGATAAAATAATTTGAAAGCTGTTCCATAATTTTTTGGACATTAAACTCTTTATGTAGCACAGAAATTATTTGTTTCTTAAAAGCGTAACCTCTTTCCTAAGTAATCTGTGTCCAGTGTCAAAATGAGGATCAGTGTCTATCTTTATCCCAGTTGGATTTCTGATAATACTACAGTATCTACTATGCTAAAAATTGAATAAATGAAAGTTTCTATGAGAGAAGTCAGCACAGTTCTGTGAAAGCACTCAAAATGGGAACCCTACCCAAACTAGTTCACAAAGGTTTCCTAGAAAAAGGTGATAACAGGGAGGGGCCTTTCCAGTTTAAGATGAGAGCTTATACAAAAGCATGAAGAAGAATGAGAATGATGTTCAGGGTAAACTGTGAGGAGTTCAGTATGGCTATAACAGAGCATAAGGAAGAAGGGTCAATAGTAGCTCCAGAAGTTCTATATTAGCAACACTTAGGGGTGACAATCTGGTTGCAGGAGAGTCTTCTTCAAAGTACTATATCAGACAAATACAAAACAACTGGAGCACAGCTGAGTTTTCATACAGTATTAACATTGTATATCATAGGAACTTATACATGGAAAGATGAATGTGGGCTAGAAAAAAACAAGGCAAGAATGTTTAATTTCAACAGACCTGAGGACCATGTAGTATTTTCAGAGATAAAAAAGAGGATCTGTGATAGGTACTATAGTGTTGTGATAGGAAGGCTGATTCTTGATCTAGACTACCAGGTATTAAATCCTGGTTCTAGCTACAAGATGTTGGGGAAGCTATTTAACTTCCATTTATCTGTTTCCTCCTCTGTAAAACAGGGATAATAGTAGTATCTCATACTGCTATTATATAAATTACTTACCTCATAGGTTTGCAATGAATATTAAATGAGTTAATAGGGTAAAGTGCTTATAACAGTGACTTGCACAGACTTAGTTCTCAATAAATATTAGCTAGCTATTATTGGGCCAGCCATATGAATACTTACCAACATTCATAAAACCTTTGTTCCAGGAACTGTTATAAGCACATTTTATATATTCATTATCAGAAGGTTTCTTGCTATGAAAGAAAAATAATATAGAAGACACAGAGATAGGGGCACCTGGGTGGCTCACTTGGTTAAGCGCCTGCCTTCAGCTCAGGTCATGATCCCAGGGCACTGGGATTGAGCACCACATCAGGCTCCCTGCTCAACAGGGAGTCTGCTTCTCCCTCTCCCTCTGCTGCTCCCCCTGCTTGTGCTCTCTCTCTCTCTCTCTCTAATAAATAAATAAATGAAATCTTTAAACAAAGAAGAAGAAGAAAAAGACAGAGATACATTCCAACATAGTATATATAAAGATTAAGAGGAAAAAAAATACTTATCATTAAATACTAGTATTTTAGTATATTAACTTGCCTGAAAAAAAAAACATAAAATTTGCATCAAGGATTTTGGTGACAAAAAAGGAAGAGAATGATTACAAAATTTAAAGGAATACATGTGTTAGGAAGTGTTAGGAATACAAGTGACCTATACTGACAGAGGAGAAAGCCAGGTTCTGAAAAAATTGTACTTATGTGGACCCAGGCCACTTAACCCCTGGATGCTCCTTGCAATCAATCTCAAATACTTCTAGATTAACTCTAGACTGGTCCTTGAAAGAAGAATAGATACATGTCCATCTGAGAAGAGAAAATATTCAAAGTCTGTCCATTAGGACCTCAAACTTTAGTGGCATCACCTTAAACATGCTACACAAATTTTTCTGAGTCAGTCAAGAGACTTAATAATTATAATAAATGATATAATTATAAAAGTATTATAATTACATATATGGTGTTTTAACCATGTTATAATAGGCACTTCAGATATTTTATGTAATTTAATACTCACAACAAATTGCTAGAGTTATTTCTTTCCCACATCTTACCATGAACCAACTGAGGCTCAGAAAGTCACAACAAGGCTAAATGGCATGGTGTTAACTGTACATGATGTATTATTTTAAAAATAGAACCAGCTTCCTTTTTAAAAGATCTTATTTCAAAATATTCATTAATAATGAGATTTATACGTACATTTAGAATTACGCTGTCCCTATTACTTTATTAGAGGCCTGACACTTCACAGCACAATTCTTGGGGTTATTGGTCGCTTTTCCTCTCCTACTGCATGGCCATACAAAGTACTGAATCTCTCAGCGCTTCACTTTTGTCATCAATAAAGTTAAAATTGTATCCATGCCTTTCCTGATTCCCAGAGCTGAATGAAAAATCAAAATATTGCAGGTAAAAGTGATGTTTTAAACTAAATTATAAAATTAAATTTCCTGAAGTCATATACTTATCTGAACTGTGCCCGCGACATGGACACATGGAGATGGGGAATTACTCAGTGGTGACCGAATTCTTTCTGGTGGGACTTTCCAAATACCCAGTGCTCCAGCTTTTTCTGTTCATATTCTGCCTCATCATGTATGTGATAATCCTCCTGGGAAACAGTCTCCTCATTATCATTAGCATACTGGATTCTCACCTCCACACCCCCATGTACTTCTTCCTTGGGAACCTCTCATTCCTGGACATCTGTTACACATCCTCTTTCATTCCTATGATGCTCATCATATTTAGCTCTTAGACAAAATCCATCTCCTTCATTGGCTGTGCTCTGCAGATGGCTGTCTCCTTGGGTTGGGTTGCACTGAGTGTGTCCTCTTGGCTATGATGGCCTATGATCGGTATGTGGCCATCTGCAACCCACTGAGGTACCCCATCATCATGAACAGAGTGCTTTATGTGCACATGGCTGCTTGGTCCTGGATCATAGGCTGTCTGAATTCCTTAGTGCAAACAGTCCTAATAATGGTGTTGCCTTTCTGTGGGAATAATGTCATTGACCATCTTATCTGTGAGGTACTGCCCCTTCTTAAACTCATCTGCTCAGATATCACCGTCAACGTGCTTATTATGACAATGGCAAGTATTGTTTTCTTAGTGATTCTACTACTGTTAATTTTTATTCCCTATGTTTTCATTCTCTCTACCATCCTGAGACTTAACTCTGCTGAGCAGAGAAAGAAAGCCTTTTCAACCTGTTCAGCCCACCTTGCTGTAGTAGTTTTATTCTATGATTTAGCCCTTTTTATGTACATGAAGCCTAAGTCAAAGGACACAAAGACATTTGATGAGATCATTGGGTTAACTTATGGAGTGGTAACCCCAATGTTGAATCCCATCATCTACAGCCTGAGGAATAAGGAGGTGAAAGGGGCTGTGAAGAAAGTCTTGAGTAGATACTTACACTCAAGGAAAATATGAACGTGCTTAGGACATATGAACACATTTGGGGAGAAGATATATTTTTTGTAGTCACAGATGAAGTTGCAGAACTCAGTATAACGAGAACATTGTGTTTGTAAAGTCAAATATGGAATTCTCATTTTTACAACAGAGAATGTCCATGTAAATCTGTTCATATAATAGCTTTGCAGCTGTCCTTCTAGTTATATGGAACTATGCCTCTTGATCCCATAGAGGTCATGATGGATGCTGTTTATGATGAATATCTCTCTGTCACTATGTATTACCTTCTCTCTCTCCTCTTTTCTCCTTTTTTCTTCTTTTACCTTTCTCTTTCTTTGCTCTCTTCTTTATCTTCTTTCTCAGTCTCCTCAAGTACAGATGTATATATTGTTTTGGTCTGCCCAGCATCCTCTCATCTTGTAAAAGAACACATCTTTTTATTTTAAGGAATCATCTGTCTCCCACTCTCAGTCCATATTTGGCTGAGGCTGACCACACTCTCTGGATCAAATGATAAGCATGAAACACAGACTGGGGCCATGAAAAATGAACATCCCCTAGCCACAGTGATTTATTCAGGGTAGTCTGTGACCTAAGCCATGCTAATCACACTTAATTGCCAAAATGTTGCTTGAGTGTCAAAGAAGAATCACTCTTTTTTTCAAAGGTCTCTAACAGGTAGAACATATGCCCAGATCTTCTCCTGGCCATCTTTGTCAATATATGGGGAGAGCCAGACTGAAAATGAAATCACCAAAGAGGAAGGTAGAGCTGAGGGAGGAACTTAGGGTGTGCTTGATGTCATTATTAACTCCTGGTTCAAGGTGGGTCTAAAAATATTAATGCTTGGACTTTTCAGTTATGTGAGCCAATAAAGTTCCTTTAAAATAGATTGAATTAATTTCCACTGCTTATAACCATATAAATCCTTTTTAATGCATTTTTAATTCCAAAGGTAGAATTTAGTGATTCATCAGTTGCATATAACACCCACTGCTCATTACTTCAAATGCCCTCCTTAATGCCCATCACTCAGTTACCCCATCCCCCACCCACCTCCCCTCCAGCAACCCTCAGTTTGTTTCCTATAGTTAAAAGTCTCTTATGGTTTGCCTCCCTCTCTGTTTTCCTCTTATTTTATTTTTCCTTCCCTTCCCCTATGTTCATCTGTTTTCTTTCTTAAATTCCACATATGAGTGAAATCATATGGTATTTGTCTTTCTCTGACTGACTTATTTCACTTAGCATAATACCCTCTAGCTCCATTCATGTCATTGCAAATTGCAAGATTTCATTCTTTTTGATGGCTGAGTAATATTCCATTGCATATATATATATATATATATATATATATATATATATATACACCACATCTTCTTTATCCATTCATCTGTTGATGGACGTCTGGGCTCTTTCCATAGTTTGGCTATTGTGGACAATGCTGCTATAAACACTGGAGTGCACGTACCCCTTTAGATCCCTACATTTGCCAGAGGAATGTTGAAAAAGAAAAGCAAAGCTGGTGGCATCAGAATTCTGGACCTCAAGTTCTATTACAAAGCTGTCATCATCAAGACAGTATGGTACTGGCACAAAAACAGACACATAGATCATGGAACAGAATAGAGAACCCAGAAATGGACCCTAAACTCTATGGTCAACTCATCTTTGACAAAGCAGGGAAGAATATCCAATGGAAAAAAGACTCCTGGACTCCTGGAATGAAACTGGACCACTTTCTTACACCATACACACACAAAAAAAACTCAAAATGGATGAAAGGCCTAAATGTGAGAAAGGAGTCCATCAAAATCCTAGAGGAGAGGGGCACCTGGGTGGCTCAGTTGGTTAAGCATCTACCTTCAGCTCAGGTCATGATCCCAGGGTCCTGGAATTGAGCCCCACATTGGGCTCCCTGCTCAGCAGGGATTCTGCTTCTCCTTCTTCTTCTGCCCCCCCCCTTGCTTGTGTTCTCTCTCTCTCTCAAGTAATAAGTAAAATCTTTAAAAAAAAAAAATCCTAGAGGAAAATATAGGCAGCAACCTCTTTGACTTTGGCTGCAGCAACTTCCTGCAAGATATATCTCCAAAGCCAAGGAAAACAAAAACAAAAATGAACTATTGGGACTTCATCAAGATAAAATGTGTTTTCTTATATTACCTCATCCTCTCCCTCTCCCTCACTAGCTCCTAGCTCTAACTTTTCCTCTGTATATCCCTTTTTCCTGATTCTTTAGAAAACTGTTTGTGTCTCTCCCTCTCAGTCATTTTGTGATTCTCTTTCTGTTTCCATCTCTTTCTCACTCTTGCTCTTTCATCCTCTCTGTCTCAAAAACTTGTCATTTTTAAGAATCACTGTTGTTCCCAAATTCACCAGCACTCAGGAGTCACCTCTTCCTTTAGTACCAATTACAATAATACAATAATTACAATAATATAACCTTTATGTTGCATGAATGCACATAATTTATCTCCCCTTGCAAATATTGCTGAGGACTTTTTACATTTTCCTAGTTCTTGGTCAATTTTTCTACAGACAGCTCTACTATGCTTCTCCATCACTTTTCTGATTATCTTACAATATTTTTCATTGTATTTAAGCTCTCTACAGCCCATTTCACACCCCAAAGAGTATATACAAAACACGTACATTCAAGAGGTTGTCACATTTAACAGACTTATAAAATAAAGTGATGCAGAAAAAAAACTCCACCTCATTACTGAATATCACTGCTTCTATATCTACTAGACATACTTCCTCACAAGGGCCTCTTTTTTTCCCCCCAGATTTTATTTATTTATTTATTTGACAGAGACACAGTGAGAGAGGGAACACAAGCAGGGGGAATGGGAGAGGGAGGAGCAGGCTCCCCGCAGAGCAGGGAGCCCGATGTGAGGCTCGATCCTTGGTCCCCGGGATCACGACCTGAGCTGAAGGCAGACGCTTAATGACTAAGCCACCCAGGTGCCCCTCACAAGGGCCTCTTAAAGCTCCTGGCTAATCACCTTCTGTTTTCTCTACAAGCATTATGCTTAACCCAATAAAAACATATGGATAGACAACTAAAAGCACTCCTCCTTGTGGCCCTTCTCAAAGGAGTAAGTCTACCCCCAAAACAGATGGCAGCTTCTACTCTTTTAACTACAGAAAAGTTCAGGCACTTTTAAAAACAATGTGTCTTCAGGGTGCCTGGGTGGCTCAATCCTTGGGGCACCTGGGTGGCTTAGTCGGTTGGATGTCCAACTCTTGATTTTGGCTCAGGTCATGATCTCAGGGTTGTGAGATCAAGCCCCGCGTTGGTCTCCACACTCAGCATGGAATCTGCTTGAGATTCTCTCTCTCCCTCTCCCTTTGCCCCTACCCCCACTTGTGCTCTCTAGATAAAAAAATAAATAAATAAAATCTTAAAAAAAAAAAAAACTATGTGTCCCTACTATCATACCAGTAATTTAGAAATATTGGAGCCCTGCACCTTGAAGAGTGTAGATTTCATTCATTTCAAGAATAACAAACATGTGGGACACCTGGGTGGCTCAGTTGGTTAAGTGTCTGCCTTTGGCTCAGGTCATGATCCCAGGGTCCTGGGATCAAGCCCCGCATCGGGTTCCTTGCTCAGTGGGGAGCCTGCATCTCCCTCTGCCTGCTTATGCTCTCTCTCTCTGAAAATAAATAAAATCTTTTAAAAAAAAAAGCAAGAATAACAAACATGTAATAATAAAAAGATACTTTATCATCTTTACCCATCTAATGAAATAAAAGATTTTGTGGTGAAAAAAAAATTTCTTCAGGCAAACCTCTGAGACATACTATCAAATAAAACAGGCTATCTCCTCACTGTCACCAAAAATGATCTTGACTCCAATTATTTGTAGGACTTCACATACAATTACTAGATATAATATCAGATATCAAGTATGATAACCTCAGAGGGAAATAAGTTTCTAATCTACCAAATAATATTTAAAGGTCAGTTAACACAACAGTCAAATCTCACAGAATTAAAAGCACCTAGCTCAACACTTTAGGCTTGACTATCCTCTACCACATCCATAATTGGTGGTTATCCATGCTTTCTTGCACACCTCTAATAATGGGAATCTCACCACCTACTGAGAGACTGTAGTCATAGTTATTAGAAACATCTTCTTATATGAAGCCAAAATCTGTCTTTTATATTTTCTACTTTTTATTCTTAGTTGTATACTTTAGGAAAATATCACTTGAGTTTATTTTTAGAACTAGAATTAGTTTATATTTTAGAGTAGGCTACTAGTTCTTAGAATTCATAGAGTTCAATTCACTCATTCATTCAACAAATATATGAATATCTACACTCTTCTAGATAAGGGCAAACAATATGAACATTAGTGTCTGAGATGGAGTTTGAACACAGATCTGTTTATTCTGAAGTCCATTTCATACCTTTTGTTCCCCGCTACTATCCTGTGATTATAGTTTGGACAACCTTTCAGCTCGGATATTATAATAATGTTCTAAGTGGTTTCACAGTCTCTGAATTTTTCCTAATTTTAAGTAGTCTGTCTACTTTCCAGATTAATCTTTCTAATTCAAGGTGTTCATCATCACTAACTACTCAAAAACTTAGTCTGGTTTTCCAAGTAAAATGCAAACACACTGACATGATATTAATGTCCCTCCACAAAATGGTCACCACCTAAAATTCTAGTATTATCTCCTAGAGCAAACTCACCCATTCTTATTGTTTCAATGAATCACCAATAAAATGATGAATCCAAATCTACAGGTACATCCCACATTTCTCTCTGGGGGATTTTACAGTGTTATCTCATCTAAATGCAATAAATAAAACACATTTCTTTCATTCATCATGTTATCTTATACCATATTGTCTTACTGCCATTTTCCCATTACAAAATGCTTCCTGCTCTTTTGATAATTTCCAAAATTCTTAAAACGAAAGCATGACATCAGCAAGATGGCAAAATAGAAGGTCCCCAGTTCTAGTCCCCACACAGAAACACTATTTGGTAACC